GCCAGTTTCGCCAGAGCGCCAGTTTACTAAAGTGCTAGTCAGTTTTGCCAGAGCGCCAGTTTGCCAGTTTTGCCAGAGCGCCAGTTTTGCCAGAGTGCCAGTTTTCCCAGTGGCAAGTAAAGGAATTCGCTGCTTTTCTTTCAAACCATATCGTATACTGAACTTAACTAAACGTAATGCTTTGTTTCAGAGAATTAAAACAGAAATTACTTTGACGCAAAAGAAAATGCTGAAATATATTGCGATATAACATTCGGCAAAACCAGTAATCGGCCCGAATAATCGTTGTGTGCAAACGTAGCTTAATGCGACACTAAATTAAATTAACAATTCAGTATATAGTCGAGTATATATATATAGTCGCATTATCCATTCATCTGTACTATTATTGTTATTCATCTGCACTATTATTACGTAGATATAGTTCCATAGTTACTGTTGCTTTAATGCGACACTAAATCAGTAGCTAAATGACAGTTAGAACACTTGGTGATCAAAAGACAGGATAATATTAGATATGTAGAGTTAATTATTTTGTATATAAGTGATGTTATGTATGTAAATATATTTCAAATTAGAAGTGTTGCATTTTTATAGCATCATGGCTTCCTTGCGAAACGACTATAAATATTAAGAAAGGCAGAATATTCATGAGCATTGTGTGTCAACAACTGGCGCGTATATTTCCCGCCAAAAATTAATTTACGCAGTTCATGCTAGCCTGCATGCATGCGCGCAGTCTTATGACTTCAAAACGATGTTGATATCATGAGACTGCGCGCTGTCTAAGTTTTATAACAGTCAGTATGCTACCAATTTCAGCAACAACTCTTGTTTTTAATAACCCACTGAAATGATACACAAACGCGGTCGTACAAATCTTTACATGTCACATTATTTTGAACGTTGCATATAGTTTTACCAGTGGATGTATAAATGCATATGACCGTGATATGATTTATGTTTTAAAACACTACAAAGGTCAAAGGCAAGATGTATGTGGAAGTATATAAATGTCAGCTTTCATTAATAACCTTATTGAGTGACACGGTAAATTAAAGTGCGGGTCCATCCATCCACATTAAGGATTTAATTAAGAGTGAATATAAACGCGAAACATTCGCGGTTATAGTCGTTACGCGCATAATCCTATATAGCACATTAAAATATTAATTTAACATGCTTAATAGCTTTATTTTTGTGAAGTTGAACTATTCAAAATATTTCATTATTGTTATGTTACTGATAATGTTTGATTAAATGCGTGACACTTCAAGTGCCACATTACCGGCTCGTTGTTATCGCAGTTCTGCTTCAGGGCAGGTATTTTGAATTTCGACTCTCTGGTTTAGAAATATCAAAGTATTATAACAATATTTCCTCAACAAATACGAGCAATAGACAAAGACAATAACTTGTTATGCAAGATGGTGTGATCATATATACAGTAATAAATCTTTCATATGCAAGACAAACTGACAAAGGTCGCATAACAAACCAGATTGAACGCAAGAGCATGTATAGTCTAGTAGTAGAATTGCTGAATTTTAACTTAATCGTAAATCGCAATATATTTCAGCATTTTCTTTTGCGTCAAAGTAATTTCTGTTTTAATTCTCTGAAACAAAGCAGTACGTTTAGTTCAGTTCAGTATACGATATGGTTTGAAAGAAAAGCAGCGAATTCCTTTACTTGCCACTGGCAAAACTAGCTGGCACTCTGGCAAAACTGGCGCCCTGGCAAAACTGGCGCTCTGGCAAAACTGGCGCTCTGGCAAAACTGGCAAACTGGCGCTCTGGCAAAACTGGCGCTCTGGCAAAACTGGCAAACTGGCGCTCTGGCGAAACTAGCACTCTGGCGAAACTGGCACTCTGGCGAAACTGGCACTCTGGCAAAACTGGCGCTCTGGCAAAACTGGCGCTCTGGCAAAACTGGCACTCTGGCAAAACTGGCGCTCTGGCAAAACTGACACTCTGGCAAAACTGGCGCTCTGTCGAAACTGGCGCTCTGTCGAAACTGGCACTCTGGCAAAACTGGCACTCTGGCAAAACTGGCAAAACTGGCAAACTGGCGCTCTGGCAAAACTGGCGCTCTGGCAAAACTGGCGCTCTGGCAAAACTGGCAAACTGGCGCTCTGGCAAAACCGCCGGCGCTCTGGCAAACTGGCGCTATGGCAGATGGATAAAAAGCCAAAAACGTACATCATTTTGGCGTATGGCATTCAGAGTCGTTATAGATGACGTAAGACATAGTTTGTATAATTACCATATATTATTTATAACCAGAATAATTTTGTATATTACTTGTGACGTGTTCTGTGCTTTGCTACACGGCTTAATAACCCATTTATCACCCACTTTCTCGGGATTGGGCAACTTTTTTGCTTGGGAACTTTTTTTGGTAGTGATGTACCTATATGCCTTTTAAATAAACACCAAACAAGTATTTCCCACATGGGTGCCACGAAGCGAAATAATTTTGGCCAACAGCCCACGGCCTAATACGCGTCAACAACTGATGCTTTCTTAAATAACAATGCGTCTTATTTAGTTATTGCACGCCTGATGCACTTCAGACACAAAAACAGTAATCCACGGGGGCAGGATGCTTATGAAGATGGACAAGCCAGGGGCACTACAAACGAAACGTTTGGCGCTCGAGCAAACTTTGGTTATTCAACGCCGAATAGCGAGAGCGTGATCGCGGAAGCCAACCCAATATATGGAGCGGTAGATATTAAAAGAAAAGAAGACAAAACCGCCAATTATAACCCACCTGGATACGAACCCGTCAATATGAAAAAAAGACGAGGCAACGAAGCTGAGTCTCAAGCAGATCCTGGATATGCGACGCCTGATGTCAATAGAAGAGAAATCAATCTCGTTAATTCTTATCCAGAGCCGCGGTATGAAACTCCTGATATCAAAAAGAAAGAGATCAATGTCGCTACTGCAGATTCTGCTTACTCATCGCCAGAGAAAAATAATGCTGATCTCGAACGCATTTATGTTAACGTAGATCTCTATTCTCTTCCGGAGGAAAATAAAAGTACTAAAAAGGTAAGGCGAGACTTTTTTTATTCATTGGTTTACGGATCCGCCGACCGTAAATATTCAGAAAGTGAAAAATAAAAAAAATAAATTTGGATGTCAAAAATTTTACAATTTTAGTTAATTTTAATTATTTGGGGTTCTGACATGAAGAGACATGAAGTACACTTCAAGTGAACTTTGACTCTAGGTACTGCTGGCTCATGTTATCGTTGTGACAATCAATATGTAGATTAGCCACGTTTTTTGCATTTTTTTTTTAAATTGACGTTAAAAAATTTTATAAAGATTATTAATTTCGGTTCTCATTTATACTCAGTTCGTGTTTTTTT